GGGGTTCGCCGGTTCGGGCGTAGTTTTATTTCACGCATACGTTTCTGTTCTGGCTCTGATATTTATAATATGCTTATAATATACCAATGAATTGTTCTGATATGGACATGGTATAAATTTTGTTAAACAGATGTCTCAAAAGCGACTGTTTATAGGTCGTAGAATTAGCGCCTTGCCGGTCTTAAACGTGACACATTTGGACACAAGCCAAATACACATTGAATGTCCATTCTATTGATTCTAAAACTGTTTATAGACATATTGCTCTAGATTTTTTTACTAAGGTTATCATCGTTTATATTAAACAACAGGAAGACAAAATATAACGTACAAAATTGTTCGAAATCGACAGTGCACAGCTGACATACGACAATTCAAAACTGCATGAATTTCCTTTTTTGTCTGCACGAGTACCTGTCTGTTGAAGCCAAAATATTGCACAGCATCTCCTATAAATTCTATCGCCATTTACCCTCTCCCCTTAAATGCAAAGGAATGACAGCCGAAAAGGTTTAGCAAAGTATTTTTTATTATATCTGGTATAAAGTGTCCTACGTTTTATCAGGGATATACATAATTCATAAACTGTATATGCACACGAAGTCTCGCTTATATTAATGAGTTTTACTGTAACAACCCTTTAAAGTTTCCATTGATAGATAGGTTGTTTGCCTCCAGTATTGTTTGGTAAAACAGACTAAACTTCTAAAATGTCGATTACAGTATACGATAAAGATTAAAGTTGATTTAAATATTGATAACTCACAGCGGCATTAATCCATTATACAAGTCTAAAGAAGCTGGATTATTCTTCAATAAAGCCCTCAATGACAATGCCAATGTCAATGAAAGGTCTAATATTATACATGTTGCAAATTACTGTATATACAAAATATGAAATAATTTTATAAAGTACAATACCAGTGTCTGGTGCATATATCGTCCTAGATATTCAAGTTGTACCGCACGCACGGAAACGCATGGAGGAGTCTTGGCGTTTGTGTGATAACAGATAGCTAGCTACACTTCGACATTATCTTTCTTGATCGTTGAGTTTCAGCAATGTAAATGAAATGAATTTTATAGCCAGTCCATAACGGGTTTTAATCCTGTGCTTTTACAGTCAGAATAGTACTATTGTTTACACATGTTGGCGTTGTTTGGGAAGTCAAAGACAAAGGATCCCGTTATAAAATAAATCTTTTGTTTTGAATATCGGACCGGATACACTTCAACTATAAAGAACCAAATCGTTCGTTTAATACCGTTTGATCGACCAGTGTGTGTAGAAGATATGTATGTTTCTACGGCGATACGTGCTAAACTTCGCAAGCCAGGCGCGTGTGGAGTGTTTTCCTTGCAAGTGAAATATGATCCAGCTTCTCGCTTGAAATGTAACGCAACACTTATTATTGATGACATTCAGGATAGCAGGAAGTCTTGTCATGATCGATATGAATTTAGAACAGTTCCTTTCACAATCTCTTGTTGCAAATTACATTTTTATCACCCGAAATTATAACACATAAAGTTGCAATTTTCCAAACGTAACAAACAGACTACTCTACTACCCCTCCCTGAGATCAAATTCAATTTACCCCCAAAATCTGGGGGTTCACGTGACCAGCTCCGACCAGGGTCTTTGCTTCCCAAGAGCAAAGAGCCTGGGAACGAGGTTGACATATGGGTTGTCTTTGAATATCTAACTGTTCATAAGTATTGAATCTCATTAACATTAATATTTAACAGCTAGGACACGTGGAATTTTTTATTTGATTGTTTCCGGTTACGCATGTATGCCAGTTCTGTTCTTGACAAAAATTTCCGAGTAGCTTCAAATTCAATTCTTCATATTTCTATCAACTTGCTAAACTACGAACTACTGAGTAACTGTGCATGGTGACAAAGGCGACAAGCAACTAAATAATATAAACGATATAAAATGTATATACACGAACGTTTGAATTGCTGAAACATAATATTATGTCTTGCAGTTCGAAACCATTAAAATTTACTATTGGGCGTCATGCAGCATTGCTAAGAAGAATGGAAAGGAATGGTGAACGTTCATCACTTCATGAGGCCTCGATAGACCAGCATTTCTCATTTTGGGCTAATTCCTGTAAAATTGTCGATCGTTGCCAAAATCCAGAGTTCGATGGACAATGCATTTGTGTAATATTTTGCATACAATCGATCGTAAAACGTACGCATTTAAATGCAGAAATTTAAGCAAGCTAAAATCCCGTGCGCAAGCAACCTGCTCTTGTTGATCGCGAATTCTGAATTAAAAGTTCATTTAGGTCGCTTTCAATTTCTGAACCGCAATATTTTTGGCATTTAAACTCATTTAAGGTACTCGTAATATAATTTATTACAATTATTGCAGAAACTAAGATAGTCAGCAGTTGTTTAAGATTTTAGTTTAATTTCCAGGAATTAAATTTATTAAAGACCGATGTCTCGACGCTAATTTTATCATTAAAATAAACAAAAAAATAGATAAGAAAGAACAGCTGCTGGCTTTATTATGAAGCATAGAATTGTCTTGTGATGTCTGCAACTGTTGCTTCCTTGCAAATTGAATTTGATTTGTGTAAACCCTTGCAGCAACCTCTTACCCAGGGTCTTAGCGAAGGTAAGAGCCTGGGTACGAGGTTGCCCTTGCAGTTGTTCTTATCTTTAAAATGTGATGTTTTCCACGAACAGCATATATATTTCCATGCATATGTTTCCGTTCCATTGCATGATCATTCTCCACCGGCTAGATCCATACACCGATACAATTTTTACAGTTGAACGAAAATTACCAATTTTTAAATCTTTCCCAAACCGGACTTTTATGTTTTGACCATTTTCGATAATGCGGACTATGCTACTCCTCCATGCTACTCCTAACGGAGCATTTCATATTATACAGTAGCGTCCAAGTTTAGATTCGTATGCATCGAAAGTGCACCTGAGAAATATGTTATGCATGATTATATTGTTATCAATTGTTAAAGATGCGGTACAGTCCGTTCTGCGCATGCGTACATTGGACTAATGAAAAGCGATTATTCCACGCCATGACATGTCATTAATAATAAAATTGCCGAATGACCAAAAACAAACTGGCTTTTCCTTCGGCTGCTTGTAATTTATAAAGACTAAACACCACCAATATATCATCATCAGTTCTAATTTAATAATGGATTAAATCATTGATGATGAAACATTATTACTGTTGTTGTGAAATTTAAATAAAGTCATTCTTGTTAATTTTGAAATTGGGTATTTTCGTATTCAATTGAGGCTAAGTCATTCTTTAAAGCATGAATGACCCCATGCTTCACACAGTATAAAGCAAACTACCATAGGTCGACCAGTTAGTGCTAGGTTTGATTATCAGGTAATCAATCATTTAATATTTATGATGATATATTTAGGGGGAAACTTTCTTTTTGTGTGGTGTTTAGATAAAAATCAAAACAGCGACAAAAGGCCGTGAAATATTTTTGATAAATATTTCAAAGAAAGAACATGACTTTTCTGCACTTTTGCAAGAATTCGGTTTCACATGATATTAAGAATTATCAAGGCCTCTGTGTTATTCACCTTAGCTTTCATTTTCTGCAGGTAACACAAGTTATTTAGGAGACTGACCATGCATTTTATATATTAACGTAATTATAGGTATAGCAGAAATCCATGATGCATGATTGCATGGATATTAAACTAACTATTCCTATACTAATAAAACTTTATAATTAAACTTTTGCCAAACATGATGATAATCTTCACAAATTGAAGAACATATAGTTTGTAATCAGGCGCCACTACTTTAGCGGCATCAAAATCGTTACTTCAATAAGTTCTGACAAGTGTGCGTGTAGCGTTTAAAATTCGCGAAGCTCATTTTATTTTGGGTTTTTTCTATCAGATAGGAATATTCAGAATAGCCGAAAGGATCGTTTATCTATTCATGGGTTTTACAAGATTGGTAAAATCATCGGTGATGGTAATTTTTCAGTTGTCCGGGAATGCAGGAACAGGTACTCAAGTGATTACTATAAAGCAGTGTCATGCAGTTCTGTCTGTATGCATTACTTAATAACTTAATTGTTGAAAACCAAACATATTGGACAGTTGCTTGTGATGTTACTCTGAGTGTATATCCACACCGGGCAAGCTTGAAAAATATGCCTGGCCACGGTGGGAATCGAACCTACGACCTTTAGAATACTAGCCCAATGCTCTGCAAACTGAGTTACGCATGCAGTCAGGTCGGTTCGAGTATGTGATATTTCGGAACTGAGTCTAGTTCCTTCGATATCAATGCAATCTAGTAATCATGATTTTTTCTGTGTTGGTGTAATGTACTCAGGTGAATAAGATGCTTGTGATGTTACCCTGAGTGTATATCCACACCAGGCAAGCTGGAAAAATATGCTAGTATTCGAAAGGTCGTAGGTTCAATTCCCACCGTGGCCAGGCATATTTTTCAAGCTTGCCCGGTGTGGATATACACTCAAAGTAACATCACAAGCATCTTATTCACCTGAGTACATTACACCAACACAGAAAAAATCATGATTATACTAGATTGCATTGATATCGAAGGAACTAGATTTAGTTTCGAAATATCACATACTCGGACCGACCTGACCGCGTAGCTCAGTTGGCAGAGCATTGGGCTAGTGTTCCAAAGGTCGTAGGTTCGATTCCCACCGTGGACAGGCATACTTTTCAAGCTTGCTCGGTTTGGATATACACTCAGAGTAACATCACAAGCATCTTATTCACCTGAGTACATTACACCAACACAGAAAAAATATTGGACAGTATTCAAACAATTAGTGTATAGGAAATAACTCGGTGCGAGAAGTATTATTGGAAAACCGCACACATGCTTGACGAAATATATTTATAATACAATGATAGTACTAATTTTATACAAATATGCACCTTAATACTTTATATCTTTGATTGTTATGTTTAGACGAACTGGTCAAAAATACGCGCTGAAGATTGTGAATAAAGCTAGAGTGAAAGGAAAGGTATAAACACTTTCTAATCCTTTTTGTACAGTCAACTGTTCTCAAAAACAGATTGCATGGGGATGTAAAGGAATCAGGTCCTGATTATGTGATTCACGATGGGTGCAATGTACACGCTATACATATAGTAGAAAGATACCCTATGGATATTCCATTTGTAGAATCTGGTGAATCATTCCACTCGCCAGAATAATTAAAAAAAACAGTAGCTTTCCTCAGTTATACGGTTATTGGTGGCCAAGTAAAAGATTTCTTTCACTTTTTATTGAATATCATGCAAGCAAAATCTGAGTCTGTATGTGGATATGTGGACATTAGGAATTTTGCTGCTCTTCATAGTTCATAACTATCTCCCGATAAAATTATTTGATAACGTCAGTGAGAATTCCAGCTAAATAATATATACGAAGGTTCCGTCTGTCTGACACTCTACCGGGAGTGATGAATGTCAAAGGTTTTGTGGAGGCCGAACTGCGTACCAAGTAATTGTTACATCTTGCAGTGTGGGGTCATTGCAACGCCAGGTTCCGCCGGCTGACCGTAGTTGCTGATGCTAAGAAAGAAAATCCCACTTGATCCCATTGATAATACATGCATGTTTCAGTAAGTATAGTATTTTTGGCTCTTTTGCTAGGAGTACTTTGTCGAGAACGAAACAGCCATTCTTCGTCGCATTTCCCATCCGAATATTGTCCAGTTATTTGAAGAGTATGAATCTGCCAAGGAAATTTTTCTTGTGTTAGAATTGGTCCAGGTATGGTAATTATTTACATACTATATTTCTTTACTTAGATATTTCCAAAGTATTCACCTATTTTTACGAATTTATCATGAATTTTATTGAAATTTTCCAATATCTTCTAGAGCTGTGCGGTTAACCGAAAAATTCGGTTCTTCCGGTACCGAAAAATTTACGCAAAAGAACCGGTAGTTTCGGTTTTAATTTACCGTTTAACGCCCGCCAAACGCCCACCTGATTGCAGGTTGAAATGTTTGGAAAATAACAAGATGTCGGGCGAACAAAACACTTCAGTGCCTTCAGTCCACTCGAAATCGGACGAAAAGAGTCCCGTTTGGAAATATTTTAGGAAAGACGATAAGAAACAAAAGTTTGCAGTGTGCAGGTTGTGCCAGAAAGCAATCAGCGCGGAATATGGTAATACTACAAATCTGCGAAAACATATACAAAATAAGCACAAGCTGGCTTTCGTTGAGCTGTGCAAGTGAGGGACTGATCATAAAGTAACTGCTAGGGTGGGCTGGAGGTAAATCACAAATTTTGCCAATAAGTTTGGTGACCCATCTTATAGGATGTAGATAAAAATTTCAAAGCCCATCCAATCTTACCAAATTTATTTCATGACCCACCCACCCAATCTAAATTGGGAAAATACACTTTTATAGTGAACAAAACTTGCAGGTATGAACATATATCAATACATGCATGCAGTGCCGGTGTATATCTTTATTTTTGTATCTGCGAAGCAGATTACTATTAACGTTACCCATAGCCATTCAGCAACGAGCTTATATTTTTGAGCCAATCAGCGATTAGCTTACATCAATTGTTTACATCGTGCTCGCACCTAACCTGCGAACGGACGTAGTTTGGTCTCGTGTAAGTCGTATTATTCTTTGCCATATTTTGGCTTCAAAAATATCTTGATTTTATCTTGAATTGGCTGTCTTGTTTTCACCATTCTACTTGTGATATTATTCCGAAGTTATCTATCAACATGGAAACTTATCCTCATCTGGTAGGTAGTCAAATACCACATATTTTATTATATACATTTATACAGTATAAAACAATCATTGTGTAATATTTTAAACAGTTAAAACTCTGGCTGCAGGCATTATATTGCCAATTAACAATATCACAAGAAACTAATGTTCTCAGGAGATATGAATTAAATCCTGGTCCTGTATTTCTGTATACTCTGTTCAAAACAACAGTCCAACTAAGTTGTCATCAAATGTAGTGTTAGAGCAAAGGTAAAGATGTCATCAGTTAAAATTATACAAATACATTTTGGTTTTACACATTAGAGTTAATTAAACAAAATTGTTACAACCATTTTCAAATGCTAATAAAAGAATTCCCACCCTCCCTCCTCATTACATTGTCATTTTGCTTTCTAATATAAATATTTTTGTTCAGAGATTAATACAAGAATGATGAACATGCACATGTACTGATGTACTGGATATTGGCTGGATAATTTTGTCAGAACAACCCAGACAATCTTAATACCTAAATTCATTAGATGGAAAGGAACTTAACAGCTACAATAATCATACTGTATATTATATGTATGGATCAGGTCAATGGCACACATTAATGTGCAAAACTAAACTTGTGATACCTTCTACTCAAACATGCAGATATTCTCCCACAACACAAATTGTTTTTGTGTGGATATGCTGAGTTACAACTTCGTTCCCAGGGCTTCAGTGTGAGGACGAGGCGAGACGAGGAAGCCCTGGTCTGGACCGGTCACGTGTCTACCCAAAAAATGGCAGTATTTGACAGCTTCTTCGAAACAAATAAATAGCCAAAAGACTTCTCAATCGATATTATTTATGTGTAGAGCGAAGTTTGGCACGAATCAGCTGAAATCTATGAAGATCCCGTCTATGTTTTCTAAGATATACCGATATTTCTGGAGATTTTCAACTACAGGCAAAGGACACCAACACTTGCCGTTCAGGAGCAATGCTTGCCTACAAATTTTATCCCCTTCACAATCTTTGTTTTATTTTATCGTATAGTCGCAATTTTCAAGCATTCGGGGTATTCTGAAACTGTAAAACTCGGTGGCGTGCGAATCTTGTAGAGACTACATCGGCCTAGGCGTAGAGCTATTAAGTACAGTACCGTCCAAAGGAAACTATACATCGAGTATCGAGCGCGTTTCGCGTTCGAGCGAGAAACATTCGAGCGAGTATCGAGCGTCTCGTTTCTCGAATCGCGTTACCTTTCGAGTTTCGCGAAACGCGAAGCGCGATTCGAGTCGTCGCGATGCGAACCGAAGAGATTTTCGAGTAACGAGATTCGAGTATCGAGTATTCGCGAAGTTCATGATTTAAATGCGTTTACTTTATAAGCTCAACATCGATCGTTTTAATTTGAGTGTAGTTTGTCCTTACACATGGCGGGTTTGTATATATTAACGTTTGCAACAACAAATCGCAGAGACGAAGACTCTGTCTCTGACGAGATATGTACCATAAATTTATCGACGGGAAATAAAACAGAAATATTTTAAATAAGAATGACATACCAACTGTATAGACCACACCAGAGACAAAGAAGGCTACTTGCTATGTACAAGGGTTACATCGTGCGGCAACACTCTCTTAGGCTCTCTGGTTTTTCGAAAATTTCTCGCTTTTAAATTATAGTTTTTGGATAAACTACATATCAAATTGTTTCTAACCATTTGGTGATTTCACTTGTTTAATTTTGGAGTTGTTTTGCAACGTATTTTTCGAGATATTCTGCGCGAAAGTTTGTGCGTTGTAATAATGTCTCGCCGCACAAAGAACAGTATGTCTACGCTTTCAGAAGCTGATGTTGAAAATCTTGTGGCGGAATTGCCCAGCACAGATGAAGATAAAGAACAAGTTTGCCCAACAGAGATGTCTGACCATAAAAACGAGGACGAAAACCACAGAAGCGAGACTTGTGGCGAAACAATCGAGCGAAAATTAAGCGAGCACGTGGTTGATGTTGCTGGTAAAGACAAAGCCGAAATCAACAGGAAACAGTCAACTTGCGAGGAATGTCAGAACCGCAAAGACGAAATTACAGAAATAAAAGCGATTATAAATGAAATTAAAACTAACCAAAACGAAGATCGAGAAAAATCAATTATAAAAGCGATAGAATCGGACGAAAGGATAAAATCCTTGCACGAGGAAAACTCCAAAATGACGGAAGAGATCAAATGTCTTAAAGCTACAATATCCGAACTTGTCACTGACAATGAGAACATAAAAAATATTCTCGACGTCAAGCAGAATGAATGGCTGAAAATAGCGGAAAACCCGAATCCATCAAAATGTAGTAAAACTGCAACAACAACGCCTACAACCTCAGTACAAAACCAGTTTGAACTGCTCAATGATGAAAATTATGAGAGCGGAATATCATCGCCTGAATTAGACTCAAACGAGCAAACGAACACGTACGTAAATAGCCAGATTCATGAATATAGATCAAAGGCACAATCGAAGTTTGAAAACCGAAAGAACCAAACTCATGCGCAGCAGAAGGAAAAGAAGAACCATGTCCATGCAAAGAGGACCGGATCCGAAAAAGAAAAAGAAATTAAAAAAGTCCTGGTAATCGGCGACTCGATGGTGAAACACATCGATCGAGTGAAAATTGAGCGAGCTGCAGGTTGCCAATCAGTCGTCCACTCTTACAGCGGCGCAAGAGTGGAACAAATCAGTTCTAAAATTAACGAATATTGGTCAGAAGGGGAGCAGTATGACACAGTTCTCCTTCACGTGGGCACCAATAACCTCGCTTCTGAAGAGCCAGAAGAAGTGGCATCTAAGATGGATGGGCTTATCAAAGACCTCAAAGATCACGCCAAGAAAATTGCCATCTCAAGTGTAATTAAAAGGTATGATAACCGAGTTCCGGCTAGCAAGATAACTCGTTTTAATATCTTTGTTAAAAACTTATGCATGAAACATAATACCACATTTTTAGATAATGACCACATTGACAGGTCGTTACTAAATCGCTCTAATTTGCACTTAAACCAACAAGGTGCTAGGGTGCTAGGGAGTGTTTTCTGCACATATCTGAAATCGTTTAGAGTAGGTAATAACAGGCAGTTTTTTCATCAAGCTCATGGACATCGGAACAGAGAATGGACAATGTACTTGAAATATGTGAATCAAATAATGAAGAATTAGATAGTCCTATTTCCGTAAACAATGTGAGTAGCGATTTTTTCACTAGCCTTAATTCCATTCCCAATGAAAGAGGTTTTAAAATGGCTTTTCTTAACATTGTTGGTTTGCCAAAAAAGATTGATGAAATAAGGTATTCAATGTCAAACAAATTAATTGATCTTATTGCTTTCAATGAGACTCGCCTTGACTCAAGTATAACTAATGGTATGATTCACCTTAATGATTATGATACTATTAGAAAAGACAGATCAAGAAATGGAGGTGGAGTTTGTATCTACTTGCGTAGCTCCATCAACTATATTATAAGACAAGATCTAATTCCCTCTGAATTGGAGGCTGTCTGTGTAGAAATTATTAAGCCACACAGTCGACCATTTCTTGTTACAACCATTTATAGACCACCCAATGCATCATCTGAATTCTTTGATCATTTTGAAAAAGTAATTAAAGCCATTGATGATGAAAATAAAGAAATGTATATTCTGGGTGATCTAAACTGTGATATGCTTAAAACAGACAAAGATTCAAATTCTCCAACAAAGAAAATCAAAACATTGTATGAGTTGTATCAATTGTCACAATTGATTGATGAAGCTACCCGAGTAACTATGACAACCTCTAGTCTTATTGATCATATAGTCACCAATACAACAGAGAAAATTTCTGACTCTGGTGTTATCCATACTGGATTAAGTGACCATAGTTTGGTATTTGCAATAAGGAAAATTTCTGTTGTTAAAAAACAAGAGAAGAAAGTTGAGATAAGAAATATGAAAAAATTTGATCATCAAAAATTTGTTGAGGATCTGAGGCAACAACCCTGGGAAAATGTATACTTCTTCGCTGAAGATCCTAACGCTATGTGGGAAATTTGGAAGAAATTATTCGTAGAGGTCTTGGATAACCATGCACCACTTCAACATAAAAAGATTAGAACAAAAAAGTTCCTTGTTTCCTATAAAGCAACTTATAATCACAAGGGACAGATTAAAAAGAAAGGCCATTATTACAAACCTAGAGATAGACTGGTTAAATTACAAAACAACGAGAAACAAAGTTAATATTCAGCTAAGAAATGGTAAAAAAAATTATTACTCCATTAAAATTTCTGATCAAAAATGCAACCCTAAAGAGGCTTGGAAAACTATAAACGATATACTAGGTAGGCAAAGCAAACCAACAGTAGTAAATGAGTTAAAATTAGGTGAAAATAGTTTGACAAATACCAAAGATATTGCGGAGGGCTTTAATAATTATTTTTCAAATATTGGCCCTGATCTAGCTAGCAAAATTGATACTCCAAATTCGAACTTTCAAACATATATTGAAAAGGCTAAATCAGAATTCAGTGCATTCCAGCCAGTCACTGTCAGCAATGTCTACCATCTTTTACATGGTCTTTCTAGCAACAAAGCCACCGGCGTTGATAAGATCTCCAGTAAAATTATTAAAATAGCTGCACCTGCTATTTCAGATTCACTCACATATATTTTCAATCAAGCTATTATCCTATCCCTTTTCCCTCATGAATGGAAAACGGCTAGAGTAATACCTCTCCATAAAAATGGCCAACGAAACCTGCCAGGAAATTACAGACCAATTTCAGTTCTGCCTGTCATTAGCAAAATTATGGAACGAATTCTGTACGATCAGCTATACAATTATTTAACCAAATTTGACCTTCTGAGTGACTGTCAATTCGGTTTTCGTAAATTTCACTCTACAGCTACAGCATTACTTGACTGTACAAATGATTGGTATATGAATTTAGACCGCAAAACGTTTAACCTGGTAGTCTTAATTGACTTAAAAAAAGCATTTGATACTGTCGACCATCAAATATTATTGAAAAAATTAGAGCTTTATGGAATAAAAGGACAAGCTCTGTCTTTTCTAGAATCATATCTCTCAAATAGAAACCAAAAATGCCAAATACAAGGATCTGTTTCATCAGAGAAATTGATCAAATGTGGTGTACCACAAGGCTCTATTTTAGGGCCCCTATTTTTTCTGTTATATATTAACGATTTGCCTCAATGCCTGGATAAAACGAAACCTCGGTTGTT